ATCAGAAAAAAACGAAATGAGCACTAATAATATACTTGCAATAAATTTTTAAGTTTACGTTTTGTAAATAAGTAACACAATAGTTTATTGACAATATATCTTTATTTCAACATATACATTTTTTATTCAAAATGATTATGCGTACACAGTCTACCAACAATACGTTTCCTGGGTTTTAAATTTCATACGTACAGAGTCTACCAACAATACGTTTCCTTGGGTTTAGATTCCATACGTACACAGTCTACCAACGATACGTTTCCTTGGTTTTAGATTCCATACGTACACAGTCTACTAACAATACGTTTCCTTGGTTTTAGATTCCATACGTACACAGCCTACCAGCAATACGTTTCCTTGGTTATAGATTCCAGTTATTTAAAGATATGTCGTAGTCTAAGGAAATAATTTCAGATATGCATCGAAGCACTTAGGTTGTCAAAAAACTCCGAAAGACTCGGATGCTGATTCGATTATTTTCTCTACTTTGGCTCTTGATTACCTTTCCCCTTTAAATCACTTACAAGCTTACTAGGTGTTAAATCTCATGGGATGATTTCCTGGGCCCGTCCAGCACTTGGTATGTAAATACGTTAATAATTTTTAACGAATAAATAAAAATATGATCACAATTAGCCCAAATAGCAGGAAAGGGTAAAAACAAACAAACAGAACCAAAACCAAGAGTTATGAGTTGTGGAATGTTTTGGATACTTATGTGAACAGATCACATATGTCCATGTTTTGGAATTTACCATTAAAAGAATTTGCGCCACCACCAAATATAATGACAATTAATAACCTTACTGTTTCCAAACACGGCAGCATCTTTCAAAATTTTCCAAAACTATTTAATAAAATTCCTTTACTGAATGAACAGAAGGGAGAAAATGAAATTTATATTCACAATTGAAATCTTATTTCGCATCAAATTTTACAACCCTCTATATAAGCATGTCAATAAAAATATATACAAATTTAATAGCTCAGTTATTCAAGTTATTTATCTCACCGCGGCGGGAGACGGTATTGAGGAATCTGCTAGGGGAGGTTAACGATTCTACCACGGGGACTTGTCCCTCCCTGGCTCCCACTGGCTATGCTGTAACATAAAACGAATCTGTCCTAGTTTAGTAAAGTCATGCAAGCTGTAGAACAAAGCGCATTTGTCACGTTCTGTAACGCCATAACATGAAACGTATTTGTCACGGTTTAGTAAAGTCATTCAAGCTGTAACATAAAACGTATTTATCACCGTTTTGTAAAATCATGCATACTGTAGCATAAAACGTATTTTATCGTTTAGTTGTCATGCAAGCTGTAGCATAAGGCATATTTGTCTTCGTTCAGTAAATGCATTTAAGCTGTGACATATAACGGATTGGCCATCGTGTGGTAAATTCATGCAAGTTGTAACAAAATCATAAAGTCGGTAGATTCTATATGTAGAATGACCAAGGTACTCAGTAGGCATAATACAAATATTCACGCTAAAAAATCAACAGTAACACTTTTACTTTGAAAGATGATTGCCACTCACTTTCATTTGTTTCTCTACCCAACAAGTCCAAAAACAAGGTAAGGAATCATCGCTAAAATTCCAAACCAGAAAGTGACCAACCCACCAAATTGTTCATCTTTCTTCTACTTGTTTCAGTTGAGATAACTCTATAACTACTTTATCACTAACGTCAGTTGAAATCTAAATCCATTCTATGTGTTTCTGGGCACTGCACGATGTCATCTTTAGTCGTAATAACTAGTAATAATTTTAAAAAATCATAATTCTAGTTAAATTATATTGTCATTACCGTTTGAAATTAGCCTTATTAAAGAGATCTGGTATTCCTTTAAAAAGCTTAAGTACACGGTGAAACAGGAATTGCCAGCCAATAAACATGAACATTAGGTGACTGTCACATATAGAAAACTCAATGCTTTCTACACTGTACAATCGGTGTCTTTACGGAGCCAACCCCTATATTATTTATGAAGTGAAGGAGTAAAACAAAATCCATACACGTAATATCAGATTTTATTACACACATAGAAAACACTAACTTTTAGTCAGGGGAAAACGTCACATATCAAGTAATAAAAACATTTTGTAAATGTAAAATTATATAGCGATGGCAGTGTCAAAAAGAATGCGTACAAGAATATAGGGATGATACAGCTTTGCATAGATCATCCCTATATGACTTTCAATATTGAAATTTAATGTTACACTGTAAAATGAATACTTGACTTTAATATTACTGCATACATTACAATGCATACAGAGGGTGCAAAGCTGTATCATCCCTATATGACTTTCAATATTGAAATTTAATGTTACACTGTAAAATGAATACTTGACTTTAATATTACTGCAGTTGGAAGTTATATATTCCTGACTGCTGGTATGCAGTTTGTTTATAATAATAATATCATGGTCATATCAGGGTAGGCATCAATTTAGTGTTAATAACAGCCTATGACTTACGTACAAAGACAACTAAGTTCAGTCAAAACATGCTTTGATTATTACTAACTCTCGCTATGAGGTCGGTCAATTCGACCGACCTCGTAACCATTTTGTACTCATGCGATTTGCAGTGTAACATTAGATTTTAATATAGAAAGTCATGTAGGGATGATCTACGTATAACTGTATCATCACGGTGTTCTTGTTTGCATTCTTTTTGGCACTGCCATCCCTACATCATTTTACATTTACAAAATGTTTGTATTACTTGTAGATTTAAGTACGAGCAAATAGTTGTATAATACAGCCCTCCTGAGGCGTTTTACGTCCTTTGTAGATGGTTTACCAATACTAATTATCATACTATAAGTAATACATTCCTCCAGTTAAGTGGTTTCATTTTGACTTGTAAAAATCAGTCATGAACTTTTACAATATTGGATATAAATCTTTCAAACTAACTTTGCATGATAAGAGAAGTAGGTAAGATTATTCGTCTGCAGTTTGGCCTCATGTGTGTGTGTGTGTTCCAGATAAACTAAGAAATTAAGGCATTATATGGAATTCCTAGGAATTTTATACATTGCCGAATGTTTTAGACAATGTATCAAGCAAGGCAAAATGAATATTGTGGGACATATTTTAACTAAGAATTGTATGTAAATGCCAAGAATGGCTTCGGCAATGTGGAGAATCATGGAAAAGAGTTTGATATTGTATTACATTCTTTAGGTACGCTTTGGAATTTCTAATTAATTGTGTTGCATCAAATTAAATATGCTTGTTAGACAGAGAAAAATGTGTGTGTGGTCATCTAATATCTGTTGTTCCACACATTACAGATTCCACTCGAGGTATTTCATATAATGTCTAGGGAATGTGTATAGATTGCTAGATATTTCATATTTTGCCTAAGCCTATTTGGCAATGTATAGATTTACTGGGTATTTTAAATAATACCTGTAACATGTGTACTAACTTCTTTGCATTGCAAGACAAGGTGTATGTTTTGGAACATTAACTTTTTTTTTACTGTTTACTTCCTTTAAGAATAATATATTTTTCATATAATACCTACAAGGCACATTTCCTATTGCCGATGCCTATTGATAGATGGCCTAAGCTTCTTTTTTACCAGTGACTATTTGGTAGAACGCTCCTTTTTCTATGACGCAACAATGATATGTGTAAATTTGTCACTAGAGGGTGTATATATTTTGTCAAACCACGCTGACAAATTTTTTTAATGTCATTCTAAATGAGATGGACAATATATTTCTCCATTATTAACTATTATATATTATTTTAAAATTATTTTTATAATAACACCGAGAAATTTATTAAGTTGAAGCATTTGTAGTCAGTTTGAGTGAGTCAGCTATACGAAGAATAAGTCCAAGCTGTGCTTTAACACTACTAGACTTACATAATTATGTTTACCTCAGGTAGAAACACTTTGATATCTATCTGATTTTATTTAACTGTACTTTTAATGGTAGTTAACTGTTTCAATAAGAGCACCATGAAACTATGAACTTGGTTCTATTAATTTTCACGTAAAACATGAAGTACCAGGTTTCTAATACAAGAACAAGTTTCTAATGTATTACCAGGTTTCTAATACAATAACGAGTTTCTAAAGTATTACTATTTCTAATGCATTACTAGGTTTCTAATACAATAACAAGTTTCTAATGTATTACCAGGTTTCTAATACAATAACAGGTTTATAATACAATAACGAGTTTCTAAAGTATTACTATTTCTAATGCATTACTAGGTTTCTAATACAATAACAGCTTTCTAATGTATTATTAGGTTTCTAATACAATAACAGCTTTCTAATGTATTACTAGGTTTCTAATAAAAAACCAGTTAGCTAATATAGTATCAGGTTTTAATAGTGTATCAGACTAGGTTTCTAATAAAGTACTAATCTTCTAATATAGTATCAGGTTTATAATACAGTACCAGGTTCCTAATACACTACCAAAATTTTAAAATAGTACTATGTTTGTGATATAGTACCGGGTTTCTAATATAGTATCAGTTTCTAACACAGTACCGCTTTACCGATATTTTGAAGCTATAACTCAGTGAAAGTGTAATGTATTAACATCCAGCGTACACTCACACAGATCGAACTATACAGTTTCATCTCTAAGGATGCTTTATTTTACAATAGTAATAATAATTACTGTCATGACCTTTCAAAAGAAAGAAAGAGTTACTACACTAGTTTATATAACCGCTGTAATTTGTGCACTTTACAAGACGACAGGTTGCTTGATGAGTGCAGCTCTAGGTTTGAGAACATTCCATACTCACATAAAGTTCAAAAAATATGGTGCCGTTTCTTAGCATATTTTGTTCTTTTAAAATTATCTTAGTATCGTTATTTTCAAAATAAAGCCCAACATCGAATAAAAATCTCAAACATAACCATTCGAATTCCATTATTTTGTAATTTCAAACCATTACTTAGTTGCTTACTTTTATTAATTGATTTATAATTTGAAACAATCTTTTACAGATTTTGTTAGCATGTCTTTCTGTCGGATTACGTGGAGAGCGACTTCGTGATGGTGCAGAGAAAAAGGCTTCAGAATTTAGACCAGAAATTCTCGTAAGTTGCCCACAACCATTAAGTACGTTATCTGTCGGAAATACTATGAACTAATTTCGTGTATATATATATATATATATTTCAGTTGTTTAATAGTGAAACTTGGCTATGCACTGAAAGTAAATCTTAGTTAAATAATATTTTAAAATATATCTATTTTATATTTTTTTACAAAAAAGATATCGCAAACCAAGGAAATATTTTCATTAGATGTGTTCAAGTTCAATAGCAAAAACTTTATCACATTAATTAAAATTCCCCAGAATAAAAATAGTCGACTTTGATAACAAGTATGTTTTGTATCGTTCAGTTAGCTAATAATTATTTAATTTCTTATCTCATCTCAAAAAATCATTCTACTCTTAAACTTATAGTTTATTAACTACTTATGTACGATAAGGTTATGGCGATCAGACATCAATTGTTGCCATAGGAACAAGTCACTTGCCTAGACAATCACCTAAGCTCTCTTATTTATTTGTTAAGACATTTTTGTTGTACCAAGAACTAATTATTTTATATCCTACGTTTCGGCTACTAATCTGCTGCCTTCTTCAGGTAACTAATCAGTAATTAGGTGAGTATACGTTACGCATCATTACAATGATAAAGTTTATTGTTTTGAAACACTAATTAAGGTTTGTTAGCAAGACAAAGCAACTCCGAGTGTAAGCATGGCGATAGAGATAAAATTACTATATAGATTACGGTTTAAACGCTGAAAGGTAGCGAAATAATGGAAAACCAATAGGCCTACAAACTATTATAAAAACAAGTTAACTTGTTTTTACTATATAGATATTGTTGTTTTCTCTTGTTTCACATGGAAATGTACCAGCTTTTAAATCTCTTGCAAAAGCAGAATTTATGTTTGCTGCTCTTTCAGCAATAGCTGGACTCGTCGATAACTTAGAGAAAGCGCCAAAAATTGTTTAATACTCAAATTAACTAGAAATGAAATACTGTGCGAATTGAATCATGAATGGGAAATAACATTTTATCAATTTTAAACGTAAGTTTAAACTTCACGTATGTTAAAAAAAAACTTGAGAGCTTGAAATTACTGTAAGATAATAAGGAATTTGGTAAAATATATTTATTATTGACTCGATGGTGCCCTCTGTAAAATAAAATAAAACTCACTTAACCCTCTAGAAAATCTGAATGGATTTTCTTTGTTTTAACACAAAGCTACACAACAAGTGTACTCTGTCCACCGCGGGGAATGAAACCGGGGGGATTTAATGCTGTAAATCCCTAAACTTACCGCTGTTCCTTTTCTGAATGTAAGTAAAAGGGCTTACCTTTGTAACCTGTACGGCAAGTCTGAAATTCAGCCAGAGGCTCTGGAAAACATTATTCGATAACCTTCTCTTGACATTTTCCTGTCTCGTGACATTCACTTGAGGGGTTTTAGAAAACTGGTTAACTTCTTTCAATCTTTAGTCTATGTTTCTACAAACAATCTATACAAGTTTCAAATATGAATACATTTTTCTTTTTTAAATAAAGAAAATAACATTTTATAGGCTCGTTCTAAATTTCAAGCATACTTATATCTATCATGCAAAGTTCTTTCTATTTCCATTTTAGCAACAAGAAAGACAAGTTATCAAAACAAGAGCTTCAAACTACATAAGAAAAATGAGCTAATTCGAATTATAGAATATCACTTCCATACGCCTCATTTATTCCCAAACTTTTTAAACTAGAATGTTCTTTGTCATTCTTTAGAAAGTCACTATAGATGACTCTCTTGCTAACATCATATACTCGCCAGGGGTCGCTGGTAACCAAATTCCTGAGTAGCTTCTGCAACTACTTCTCACAGGAGAATATCAAGTTATGATATATCCTATGAAACATACAATACTATTGACAGTTTGCCTGTTTATTGTTAAGCACAAAGCTAAAAATGAGCTATCTTTGCCGTGCCCACCACGGGTATCAAAACCCGATTTTTAGCGTTATAAGTCTCAAGCTTTAACACTGGGTCACTGGGAACTATCATTGAGAGAAATGTACACAAAATGAAAATAGAATCTTCATAGACTGTAAAAACATTTGAAATTTTGATAACTTTGACTAGTGTTCGTGATATATATATATATATATGCACCACATAACACAAATAGCTTATTTATGACTGGACATATCATAAGCCCCTCATATACTGCTATTTGTTTTCCTCGTAAGTGTTTATTAGACATGTTATTAAGGTCTTCATAATGGAAGGTTTCTTCACTTCTTTACATTTTTATCACAATCATTTGTTCAGAAGTGTTAAGTACAGGATTACACAACCTAGGTAAAGCAAACTTTATAAATATTAGGCTCAAAACACTCTAGATTTTGTTTATTACTTCTGTGTGTTTAATCTGTGAAAACATAAGTAGTCAAATAGTTGGTGGGTGCTGTTGGCTGTCATCCGTCCTGCTGGTCTATAATTTCAAAACTAGGGAGGGCTAGCGCAAATAACAATGGAGTAGATTTGCATGAATATTCAAAACCAAACATAACAAAAAAAAAACAAAAAAAAACTCCTACCTCTAAGGCTTTGAATAAATATAGAATTAAAATTAAACAAACACTAATTAAAACACATGATAATATGTACTAAAATTGTAAACCCCATATTTATACACCGAAATATATAAGTTAAAAGTTGCGACAATATATTTCGCCTCTACAAGAGTCGCCATCAGATAGAATAAGAATATTTTAAGAATATAAGTCTTCTTAAAGTTTACAACTTTAGTGTAAGTGAATTCTGTTGATTTAATACAGACTTCAGATGTACAATTATCGATCTCACTCAAATTCCTCATTCCTGCTCATCCTCATCATAAAGTTCCCATTGGAGACAGGAAGTTCCGACTTTGTTAAGCTACGGCTTACGATTATTGGTTAGTACAGCGCTACCTGTCTTAAAATTGTTATATTTAAAAAAGTATCAATAACGAAGTTTAATCAAAACAAGATCCACCACAATAAAACAAAACATGTGTAATCTTCGGACGTTTCAGAATTTATACATTCCGTTATCGGCGATCCAAAGTAGTTTCACAGAGTATACATACGTAGTATATATATATATATATA